GACGCAGTGGTGTGGGGTAATGTTGGAGGAGTGTAGACGCAGTGGTGGGGGGGTAACGTTGAGGAGTGTAGACGCAGTGGTTGGGTAACGTTGAGGAGTGTAGACGCAGTGGTGGGGTAATGTTGGAGGAGTGTAGACGCAGTGGTGGGGTAATGGTTGGAGGAGTGTAGACGCAGTGGTGGGGGTAATGTTGGAGGAGTGTAGACGCAGTGGTGGGGTAATGTTGGAGGAGTGTAGACGCAGTTGGTGGGGTAATGTTGGAGTGTAGACGCAGTGGTGGGGTAACGTTGAGGAGTGTAGACGCAGTGGTGGGGTAATGTTGGAGTGTAGACGCAGTGGTGGGGTAATGTTGGAGGAGTGTAGACGCAGTGGTGGGGGTAACGTTGAGGAGTGTAGACGCAGTGGTGGGGTAACTGAAGAATTGGGGGAGAATTTGTTGGGGGAAGGGCTGTACAAATATATAGTGTCTGCAGCCAACTGTGAAGCATGGTGGAGGTTCCCTGCAGGTTTGGGGCGGCATTTTCGCCAGTGGAGTTGGAGATTTGTCCGGGACCACCAATGGTGTCCTCAATGCTGAGAGATCCAGGCAGAGACTTCTCCATCAGCCATACCGTCTGGGAGAGGCGTGTGATTGGGCCCAAATGTATTCTGCAGCAGGACAACCCCCCCAAACATCCAGCCAATGTCATTAGGAACAATCTTCATCACATAGAAGGAGGAGTCCTGGAAGGGATAGTTCAGCCCCCACAGAGCCCGGATCTCCCCATCATGGAGTCTGTCTGGGGTGACATGAAGAGAGAGGAGGATTGGAGGCAGCCGCCATCCACAGAGGATCTGGGCTCAGTTTCACAGGCCATTTTCGGGGGGGAAGGGGTCACCCCAATACTGATCACAGGCTAGGGTGAGGGGGGTCACCCCAATATGATCACAGGCTAGGGTGAGGGGGGTCACTCCAATACTGATCACAGGCTATGGTGACGGGGGGGGTCACCCAATACTGATTGCAATGCCCCTCCACGCCAGGCTTACGGTGAGGGGGGCTTCACCCCAATACTGATCACAAGGCTATTATGGTGAGGGGGGGTACACCCCGCTTACTGATCACAGGCAACGGTCCAACGCCCGATTACAACGCCCCTCCAACGCCCGTGTGAATGGAGCCGAACACTTCGATTTCTGGAAGACTTTTTCATTTTCAGCATCACACCTGCCTAAAACTTTTGCACAGCACTGTGTGGAGATGGGACAACTCGGAATCCACAATGTGACCGTGAGGGGCCCGCATCCATATACGGGGTCAAAGAATTCGGCCAAGAAAGTTGGGGCCCAGCTGTGGGGGTCCTGTGATGGCGCAGCTGTGCAGTGTGCCGGACCGCTGTACAATGACCCCCTCCCCCCCACCATCTCCATTCTATAATCCAGCAGCTGGTTGCTCGGTTTCTATATTCCTGAGCGGACACGGGGCCCCCGACACACAAAGGGCCACATTAATCACTCCCTGTCAGCCATTCATCTCCTTGGAGCCCCTCACCCGCCCCATTCTTACCCTTCACCCCCCCAATCTTACCCCTCACCCCCAATAAATACAACTTTGGCTGCTGTACCTCCCAGGAAAATAGCGCGGCTCATCGCTCCGGCCCCTCGCCATCGTCCCAAAACGATCGTCTTCCCTCTCCGGCCAGGTGACCAGGACCACTGATACAGCACTGGAACCCCCAAATCACCCCTATCTGTGGGAGGGCCCCCCAATTCACCACCATCAGAAGGACCCCCTCACCATTCCCCAGATTCACCACCAATTCACCATTATTCCTCTCCTATCAGAAGGACCCCCAATTCACCATTATTCCTCACCTATCAGAGGGACCCCCAATTCACCATTATTCCTCACCTATCAGAGGGACCCCCCAATTCACCACCATCCCTCACCTATCAGAGGGACCCCCAATTCACCACCATCCCTCACCTATCAGAAGGGACCCCCATTCACCATCCCTCACCTATCAGAGGGACCCCCAATTCACCATCTCCTCACCTATCAGAGGGACCCCCAATTCACCATCCCTCACCTATCAGAGGGCCCCCCCAATTCACCATTATCCCTCACCTATCAGAGGGACCCCCAATTCACCATCCCTCACCTATCAGAGGCCCCCCCAAATTCACCATCATCCCTCACCTATCAGAGGGACCCCCAATTCACCATTATTCCTCACCTATCAGAGGGACCCCCAATTCACCATCATCCCTCACCTATCAGAGGGGGACCCCCAGTTTCACCATCATCCCTCACCTATCAGAGGGACCCCCAATTCACCATCCCCTCACCTATCAGAGGGCCCCCCCAATTCACCATCCCTCACCTATCAGAGGGACCCCCATTCACCATCCCTCACCTATCAGAGGGACCCCCAATTCACCATCATTCCTCACCTATCAGAGGACCCCCAATTTTCACCATCCCTCACCTATCAGAGGGGCCCCCAGTTCCCTCACCTGTCAGAGGGACCCCTAATTCACCTTACCTCACCTATCAGAGGGGCCCCCAGTTCACCATCATCCCTTGTCTCTTAGAGGGGCCCCCAGTTCACCATCATCCCTCGTCTGTCAGAGGGGCCCCCAGTTCACCATCATCCCTCATCTGTCAGAGGGGCCCCCAGTTCACCATCATCCCTCGTCTGTCAGAGGGGCCCCCAGTTTCACCATCCCTCGTCTGTCAGAGGGGCCCCCAGTTCCCCACCCCCCACCTATCTAGATCCATGACCCCCACACAGGGTATAGAAGACATTTCGGTGGAATGATTCCGATCAGAGCGGATTGTTCCAGAATGAAGTGTCAGCCACATATACCATGGCGTCCTCAGAGCACAAACTTCTGTCTCCACCAATCACCAACCATCTGACAGCTCCGCTGGAATGGACACTCAAATCTGATTGGTTATCTCCCCCCCCCCCACTATTATAAGTCAATTCCACCCAAAAATGTATTTTATGAGACTTTTTATATCACTTACCGTCTCCATCAGAAACCAACTACTGGGGGGATATCTCCTCATTGTGGGAGGGGCAGAGACACACTACGGAAGAGGGGGAAATCTCCCCATGTGGGAGGGGCAGAGACACACTACTGGGGGGGAAATCTCCCCAATGTGGGAGGGGCAGAGACACCAGCTACGGGGGGGGGGAAATTCCCAATGTGTAGGAGGGGCAGAGACACACTACGGGGGGGAAATCTCCCCAATGTGGGAGGGGCAGAGACACCAGCTACTGGGGGAAAATTTCCCCAATGTAGGAGGGGCAGAGACACACTACGGGGGGAAATCTCCCCATTGTGGGAGGGGCAGACACACAAACTACTGGGGGAAATCAGACCTGATAAATATATCAATCCCTGTACCTGCCAATTAAACATTTCCACACAGATTTCTGACACCAATGATGGGGCACTATTCCTCCCACTGACACCAATGATGGGGCACTATTCCTCCCACTGATACCAATGATGGGCCACCATTCCTCCCACTGACACCAATGATGGGCCACCATTCCTCCCACTGACACCAATGATGGGCCACCATTCCTCCCACTGACACCAATGATGGGCCACCATTCCTCCCACTGACACCACTGATGGGACACCATTCCTCCCACTGACACCAATGATGTGGGCACCATTCCGCGCACTGACACCAATGATGGGGCACCATTCCTCCCACTGACACCAATGATGGAGCACCATTCCTCCCACTGACACCAATGATGGAGCACCATTCCTCCCACTGACACCAATGATGGGGCATTATTCCCCCCTGACACAATGATGGGGGCACCATTCCTCCCACTGACACCAACGATGGGGCACCATTCCTCCCACTGACACCAACGATGGGGCACCATGTCTCCCACTGACACCAACGATGGGGCACCATGTCTCCCACTGACACCAACGATGGGGCACCATGTCTCCCACTGACACCAACGATGGGGCACCATGTCTCCCACTGACACCAACGATGGGGCACCATTCCTCCCACTGACACCAACGATGGGGCACCATGTCTCCCACTGACACCAACGATGGGGCACCATTCCTCCCACTGACACCAATGATGGGGCACCATTCCTCCCACTGACACCAACGATGGGGGCACCATTCCTCCCACTGACACCAACGATGGGGGCACCATTCCTCCCACTGACACCATTGATGGGTCACTACTATTAACCACAGGCAATATGCATTTTTTTTTTTACTTCCACTAACCACTGAGCGTGAAGCATTGTCTACTCCCACTTACTCTAGGACATTTTTGCTCCCATTGGCCATAGTCTGGCCCGTCTGAAGGGCCGTAAAGTAGCCCTTCATTTAGGATGTTTGGTGACCCCCGCCTCATACCACCCAGCTGGCACATCAACAGACAATGCATTGGAACCAACCAAGCTAAAGCCATCCACTCACAGGAGATCCTCATCCAATGGAGCCAGATTAGGTGGACACCCAAAGCTGGACCTTCCAAGGCTAACCCACCATCAGCCAGGATGGAAGGTTTTGGTCAGCCTGTCTCCCCAGATAGACAACACCCGGCATGACGGCCATACCCACCCTCCCATCATCAGTCTTAGTGGATTGCTCAGCCTGACTGCTGTCTGAACTCTTGTGGACAGGATGAGTGGAATCCCTCGAATTGCTCAATGGTTTGTGTGGTATCGGTGAATTTGGACTGGCTCCAGCAGTCTGAGGTCACTGGTATCAGCATGTTCATTGGCTGTTGTAAAGGCGGTACTATAACAATTCTGGCTTTTTATCCCCTGCTATGATGGAATGTAGAATAATCCCACCATAAAAGATCATTCTTTTGTTCTCTTCCATCATCTGGCCGTGTTATGGGGAGTTGTGTCATAAGAGGAGGTCTGGCCAATGGCTCCTGCTCAAATGTTCATAGATCTGGCCCAATCTAGAGTCCTTCTCGATATGGAATTATCCAAACGTTTCTCATAGGTCGATCAGGAGTGACGGTCAATCTCCTCCTTTTATAGTGAGCAGAGATTTGGGTTGTTATGGTTACTGCCCTTTGCACTCAGACCTTCTAATAATCCAGCCATTTTCTCAGCTTTCTGCAAGGAAGCCTCCATTGTGGTTAAATGTAACATTTCTTCTTCTGCTCTCCACAGATGACGTCTCCAGTGAAGGTCTATTACAGCCAGACCACCCAGACAGACAGTCGGCCTCTGATTGGTTCCAGCCTAAGGCGAAGGCGTGTAATGACCAAGGATGGACGAAGTAATGTACGCATGGACCACATCACTGATAAGAGCTTCCTCTACCTCAAGGACCTGTGGACGACATTCATTGACATGCAATGGCGATACAAGCTGCTTCTCTTCTCCGCCACCTTTGCTGGAACTTGGTTTATTTTTGGGGTTATCTGGTACCTGGTGGCCTTAGTCCATGGCGATCTCCTGGAATTCAATGCACCGGCTAACCACACCCCTTGTGTCATGCAGGTCCATACTTTAACTGGAGCATTCCTCTTCTCACTGGAATCACAAACCACCATTGGCTATGGCTTCCGTTACATCAGCGAAGAATGTCCTCTGGCCATTGTTCTGCTCATCAGTCAGCTGGTTTTGACAACAATCCTGGAAATTTTCATCACTGGAACTTTTTTGGCAAAGATTGCTCGTCCAAAAAAAAGAGCGGAGACTATCAAATTCAGTCAGAATGCCGTGGTGGCCCAACAAGAAGGAAAACTCTGCCTCATGATCCGAGTGGCCAACATGCGCAAAAGTCTGCTCATCGGATGCCAAGTTACTGGAAAGCTTCTTCAGACCCAGGCCACAAAAGAAGGTGAGAACATACACCTCAATCAGATCAATGTGGACTTCCAAGTGGACACATCCTCCGACAGTCCCTTTCTAATCCTTCCACTCACTTTCTATCATGTGGTTGATGAGTCTAGTCCTCTCCGAGATGTGGCCGTTCGTTCAGGTGAAGGGGACTTCGAACTGGTGGTCATCCTTAGTGGGACAGTGGAGCCTACCAGTGCAACCTGCCAGGTCAGAACATCCTACCTTCCGGAAGAAATTTTATGGGGTTACGAGTTCAGCCCAGTCATTTCTTTGTCCTCCAGTGGAAAGTATGTAGCAGACTTTAGTTTATTCGATCAAGTACTCAAGGTGTCTCCACCCTGCTGCTTTCATGAGACTGTTCGCTATGGAGACCCAGAGAAGCTGAAACTGGAAGAATCATTCAGGGATAAGTCAGAGAAAGAAGGAAGCCCATTAAGTGTCAGGATCAGCAATGTATGATCGATGTATAGAAGTTCTATACACCATTATATTCTATAGTAGAAGCCTGCTCAGCCCAGACAGGTACACCATACACTGATGCCTTATATCCTAACTTCTAGGAGACTGTAGAAAACCCACCAGCTGAATGTTTCCTCAAGACCACTTTAATCTGTACTGTAGAATCTGATCGAAAAAAAGGAGAATTTGCAGAGAAGTGCGATTTGTGCGATTTTGTTATGCAGCTGAATTGAAATCTATTCTGGAGGTGTCAGAGGTGGAATGTTTGGCAATGAGGTCTGTTTCAGAAGATTCCCTCAGGACCTACAAGAGTGTAGTTTACGTACATCCATCCAATCAACGATCTAGAGACACCCTTCTCTCTGACTTTAGCCTCATCTGCCTTGTCAATGGACCACACGGGGTGGCAGCCATTCTGCTAGATACAGGTGGCCAACAACATTTATGGCCCGAACACTTCGTTTTTATGTTCCTGTTTGAACAATACCACTTCTGCTCTAGAAGATGATCAGTGCCTTGAGGAGGAAGCAGAAACCTGGACCAGCCTTCAACAGGCATCATTTGGGGAACAGACTGAATCAGAGATAGGAGGGAGGACAGACAAGTGAATTGCTGCTATAGAGAGACATGAAAAGTCTGAAACGTTACAGAGAATAAGTGATTAACTTCTCTTCTACTAACCCAGCACCTTATCGATGAATGTATGTGACAATGTCAATGCATAGTCTACTGCCAGGGACATCCCATGCAAGGGCCACAGTCAATGTATAGTCTACTGTCCGGGGACATCCCATGAAAGGGACATAGTCCCAGAGTCTAGTCTGCTGTAAAGGGCATAGTCAATGTATAGTCTACTGTCCAGGGACATCCCATGAAAGGGCAGAGTCCCAGAGTATAGTCTGCTGTAAGGGGCATAGTCAATGCATAGTCTACTGAAAGGGGACATCCTCAGAAAAGGGACCGAGTCCCAGAGTATAGTCTGCTGAAAGGGGACAAATTCAATGTATAGTCTACTGGCTGGAGACATCCTGTGACAGGGACCATGTCCCAGAGTATAGTGGAAATCCTAGAGTATAGTCTACTGTCCAAGGACATCCCATGAAAGGGACCGAGTCCCAGAGTATAGTCTGCTGTAAGGGGCATAGTCAATGTATAGCCTACTGTCCAGGGACATCCCATGAAAGGGCAGAGTCCCAGAGTATAGTCTGCTGTAAGGGGCATAGTCAATGCATAGTCTACTGAAAGGGGACATCCTCAGAAAAGGGGACATCCTCAGAAAAGGGACCGAGTCCCAGAGTATATTCTACTGAAAGGGGACAAATTCAATGTATAGTCTACTGGCTGGAGACATCCTGTGACAGGGACCATGTCCCAGAGTATAGTGGAAATCCTAGAGTATAGTCTACTGTCCAAGGACATCCCATGAAAGGGACCGAGTCCCAGAGTATAGTCTGCTGTAAGGGGCATAGTCAATGTATAGTCTACTGTCCAGGGACATCCCATGAAAGGGACCGAGTCCCAGAGTATAGTCTGCTGAAAGGGGACAAATTCAATGTATAGTCTAGTGGCTGGAGACATCCTGTGACAGGGACCATGTCCCAGAGTATAGTGGAAATCCTAGAGTATAGTCTACTGTAAGGAGACATCGTAAGAAAGGGACCTATTCAATGTATAATCTACTGCCAGGGACATCCCATGCAAGGGCCACAGTCAATGTATAGTCTACTGTAAGGGGACATCCCATGCAAGGGATAGATTCAATGTATGGTCTACTGCCAGGGACAGCCAATGAAACAGAACAAGTCCCAAAGTATAGTCTACTGTAAGGGGACATCCCAAGAAAGGGACAGATTCAATGTATAATCTACTGTAAGGGAACATCCAAGGAAAGGGAACGAGTCCCAAAGTATAGTCTACTGCCAGGGACATCCCATGCAAGGGCCACAGTCAATGTATAGTCTACTGTAAGGGGACATCCCATAGAAGGGACAGATTCAATGTATGGTCTACTGCCAGGGACATCCCATGAAAGGGAATGAGTCCCAAAGTATAGTCTACTGTAAGGGGACATCCCATAGAAGGGACAGATTCAATGTATGGTCTACTGCCAGGGACATCCCATGAAAGGGAATGAGTCCCAAAGTATAGTCTACTGTAAGGGGACATCCCATAGAAGGGACAGATTCAATGTATGGTCTACTGCCAGGGACATCCCATGAAAGGGAATGAGTCCCAAAGTATAGTCTACTGTAAGGGGACATCCCATAGAAGGGACAGATTCAATGTATGGTCTACTGCCAGGGACATCCCATGAAAGATACGAGTCCCAAAGTATAGTCTGCTGTAAGGGGACATCATGAGAAAGGGGCACAGTCAGAATCTTCTTTCAAGGACATCCGGTGGAAAGGACTGAGTCAATGGGTAGTCTGTTGGCAGGAGCAACATGTGGTAAGAACAGAGTCACTGCAGAGTCTACTGCTTGCAGGGATGAAGTCATCCCATAAATGGGACAGTCAATGTATAGGCCACTGCCAGGGACATGTCATGGAAGGGACAGAGGAAATGTAGATCCTCCTACTTGGGAAAGGATATCTCATGAAAAAGGACAAAGTCAATGTAAAGTCTACTGTTGGTGACATTTTGTGGTAGGAACAGTCAATGCATAGTCTACAGCTGGGGACATGCGGTAGAAGGGACCGAAGTCAATGGATTGCCTCTTGCTGGGAACATCTTGTGGTAGGGACAGTGTCGTAATACTGACTGGGGGATAGAGGTCATCCCATAAAAAAGGATAGAGTGAATGTGTAGTCTACTGCCAAGGAAATCCCACAGAAAGGACAGAGTCAATGTAGATCCTACTACCTGGGCAAGGGTATCCCATGAAAGGGACAGAGTCAATGTGGAGTCTGCTGCCAGGGACATCGAAGGTAAGGGACGCAGTGAATGTAGAGTGTTCTGCTAGCAGCATCTGGTGGTAGGGAGAGGCAATGTAGAGCCTCCTGCCTGGGAAGAGGTATCCTATGATAGGGAGAGGCAATGTAGAGTGTTCTGCTGGTGACCTCTTGTGTAGGGTAGACTACAATGTAACGTAAATTACAGTGGACAACCCATGGAAGGGACAAAGTCAATGTATAGTCATGGCCAAAAATCCCCCCCCCCCCTGTCAGAGAACACCCCACTTCACCCAGAACATTGCTGCAATGATAAATATCTTTCAGGGTTCTCATGTTTGTATCGGTGACACACAAAAGTGGAGAAATAAAAAGCCAAATCTAACCCATTCCAGGCAGAACCCCAAAAATGGACTGGACAACAGTTATTGGCACCCTCAATGTAATATTTGGTAGGACACCTCTTGGTTACAGGAAGAGATTTATTTCACGTATTTTTTCCCCATCAATGAGTTTCTTCCACCTCTCTCCTGCAATTTTGGATCGCTATTCTTGCTCCAAGTCCCTCAATCCCATAGAGCTGCACAGGAGCTCTATGGGATTGAGATCTGAACTCATCGCTGGCCAGCTCAGTCCACTCCAGTACTTTGAAACCATTTCTGGGGGCTTTGTGACGTGTGCTTTGGGTCATTGTCCTGCTGTAAGACCCATGACCTCTGACAGAGACCCAGTCTTCTGACACCGGGCCCTACATTGCACCCCAGAAGTCTTTGGCAGTCTCCAGATTTCATGATGCTGTGTGGTCAAGACATCCAGTGCCTGAAGCAGAAAAGCAACCCCAAACCAACAGTGGACCCCCTCCCCCCACCATGTGTGACTGTATTCTTTTCTGTAAAGGCCTCATTGCTTTTTCTGAAACATTAGAATGATGGGCTTTACAAAAAAAAAAAAAAAAAGCTGCCATTTTGGCACATTCTCCCAACAAGATTTTGGCTTCCTCAGCTAAGTTTTGGCAAACTCCAATCTAGCTTCCAACGTTTGTGTCTCGTCTCCATTGGGCACACAGACACCCAACACAAAAGTGGAGGCCATTTGACACCAATGGTTGTCGGGATTTCTGTTGTCAGCGCCTGGTCATAGATACAGGGGAGTTGAACGACAAATTACAGGAGCATCACAGACTTGGAATGCAATTATTTCATTCCATTTTCAGAAGGTGCCAATAATTTTGTCCAGTCCATTTTTTGTGGTATTTGGTGGTGAAAATCGTCATGGGAGCAATTTTCTGGGTGACGTTGGTGCATTATCTGACAGAAAACCAGCAGGGCCAATATTTTTTGCCATGACTGTGTATCCTCTGCATGGGGAAGAGAATCCCATGGAAGGGGCAGAGTCTAGTGCCAGGGGACATCCCATGGAAGGGGCAGAGTCTAGTGCCAGGGGACATCCCATGGAAGGGGCAGAGTCTAGTGCCAGGGGACATCCCATGGAAGGGGCAGAGTCTAGTGCCAGGGACATCCCATGGAAGGGGCAGAGTCTAGTGCCAGGGGACATCCCATGGAAGGGGCAGAGTCTAGTGCCAGGGGACATCCCATGGAAGGGGCAGAGTCTAGTGCCAGGGGACATCCCATGGAAGGGGCAGAGTCTAGTGCCAGGGGACATCCCATGGAAGGGGCAGAGTCTAGTGCCAGGGGACATCCCATGGAAGGGGCAGAGTCAACGTAGAGTCTACTGCCAGGGACATCCCATGGAAGGGGCAGAGTCAACGTAGAGTCTACTGCCAGGGACATCCCATGGAAGGGGCAGAGTCAACGTAGTCTACTGCCAGGGACATCCCATGGAAGGGGCAGGTTTCCAATTAATAGACCTTGGTAGAAATTAAACACATTAATAAAGAGTTTGTTGTCAATTTTCTGGAGTGAATTCTCCATCATTACCGCTTTGTATGTGTCCAATAGGAGAGTAAAACTTTCCATTCACAAAAGAACCGATAACAGTCAGATGGGCCGATTTCTATGTAATGGCAGAACCATCCACACCACCCCACTCTGTACCCTCTGAGAAGACTGTAGAGACATGGCGAGGTACGCCCCAGCTTGGACCTGCTCC